ACGCGCGCGCGCCTTCTCCTCCGCCCCCCCCCCTCCTCCTCCTCCTCCCCCCCCTCCTCAGCCTCCTCCTTCTCCTCGTCCCCCCTCCTCTTCGAGATCCTCGATCATCCTCCCCCTCGATGTCGCCCTCTTCTTCGATGCTCTCCATTCTCCCATTCCCATGTTCCTTCCTCGGGCACCTCCTTCTCATAATCCTCACCGTTCTTATCCTCCTCCTCCTCATCCTCGCCGAAAGCTCGTCCTGCTCCTCTTCCTCACCCCCCTTCTCTTCCTCCTCATGTTCCTCTCCTCTCCTCTCCTCCCCATCGCCCCCCTCCCCTCTCACATCCTCTCCTCTCGAATCGTCTCCTCTCCTCTGGTTTCCTCTCCTCTCCTCTCCCTCCTCTCATCTCCTCTCTTCCTCTCTTCCTCTCTTCCTCTCGTCCTCCTCCTCCTCCTCCTTCTCCTCCTCCTCCTCGCCCTCTAATTTAAGGGCGCAGCGTGCCCGCCGCAAATCCGCGGTGCCTTGGGCAGCGCCACCCCTCCCCTCCCCTCCTCTCTCCTCTCCGCTCCCCTCTCCTCGATCCTCTCTCCTCCCCTCCCCCTCCCCTTCACTTCTCCCCATCGTTCTTCCTCCGTCTGGTCTCTATCTCCTCTCCCCCGCCTCTCTCTCTCTCTCTATCTCTCTCTCTCTCTCTCTCTCTCTTTCTGTCTCTCTCTCTCTGTTTTTTATATAAAAAAATCTCTCTCTCTCTCTCTATATATCTCTCTCTCTCTCTCTCTCTCTCTCTCTCTCTCTCTCTCTCTCCTCTCATCTTCCCTCTCCCTCTCCTCCTCCTCCTGCTGCTGCTGCTGCTGCTTCTCCTCGTCCTTCTCTCCATCCTCCTTCTCGGCCTCCTCATAATTTCCCTTCTCTCCTGCCCCTCGCCGATATCGTCCCCCCTCCCGCCCCTCGCCTCTCATCCCGTGCCCTCTCCTCTCCTCTTCTCTCCCCTCCTCTCCTCTCCTCTCCTCTCCTCTTCTCTCCTCTCCTCTCCACTCCTCTCCTCTCCTCCCCTCTCCTTTCCTCCTCTCCTCCTCTCCTCTCCTCCTGGCAAGCTAACGCGCGCGTCTTCATTGCGAGGGCGTCTCATGCGAAAACGCGCGCGCTCTTGTGATAGAACGGGGGCCGTATATATAAAGAGAAGGATAGAGTAGACAGAAAGTGAAGAAATAAGTTTTTTGTGCAAGCCAAACCGAAAGCCAGATGTACGTCATAACAGCGCTACGTCGTGCGCACGCATCGCCGAAGCAGGAGTTGCAAAGCGTGCAACGCTTCATGTAGCTTCATTGAAAGCGTTTAGCGCTTAACATAAGCGTCAAACGCTTAATATAAGCGTCAAGCGCTTAATATAAGCGTCAACGCTTATTTTAAGCGTTGGCGCTTATTTTAAGAGCAAGGCTTTTTTTAAGCGCCCAACAAGACATCAAGACGTCTGACGCTTAGTTTAGCAAGTCCCGGCCCTGAGGGCAGTCGCCGTAGGAGCACGACCCAATTGCCGTCCAAATCCTGCACGGCTTCTTCCCCTTGCCGGCTGCGCTCCCTTTCCCGGCGCCTTTTTGGGGCTTGCCTGCGCCGCCCTTGCCGCCCTGGGTCCGGCGCGGCCCCTGGAATTTGTTCACGTTTGTCTTGCGCCGATTCGCGTTCGGCCCCTCCGCCGCGCCACCGGCGCCCTCGCGCTCTGCCTGCGCACCGCGCTTGAAAGGGGTCGCGGTATCGGAGATCGCCGTCTGCGGCGCAGTGGCGAGCCGCTCGAGCCTGGGGGCCATGGCCAATCTGCCGCCCATTTCGTCGGTCCTCGCGGGCGACGAGTTCATGGCGACTTCTCCGATGTCGCCCAGGTCGCGCGCTGCTCTTCCCCACTGGTTCTGCAACAGCAGGCGCGCGTGCAGGAGCTCGGGCGCGCCGAGCCCGCGGCGCAAGCGCCGCGCCGACGCGCCTGCCGCCGCGGGGACGAGCTGGGGCGCTCCCGTCTTCTTCGCGGCTATCGCCTCTGACTGGACCTCGTACCTGAGGCTCGAACTCGCCGATGGCCCCATTAAGCTTCTCGTGCCTGCCTCAGAGGCGCAGGCTTGGCAGGCGCGCATCTTCTACTCTGTGGTTGCGGGGGCGGTCCAACTCTTCGAGTCTCCGCCGCATGTGCTCCGGCTTCAACTGGAGACGCCTCCGGGTTGCTGGGCTGCCCCGTGGCGTCGTGGAATTTGTGCGAGAATTGCGCCGCCAGCGCCCACTCAGCGGCCCCGGGCTTGACTGCGGCGACGCTCTCGCGGGCCGCCTCGCAGAAGACTTGGTCGACCTTCTTGACTATGATCGCGCCGCCTTCTCCCCGGAGGTGCTCCGGCGCGGCGCTGTCCTCCGCTGCAGGGGTCGGGTCGGTGAAGCCCTCCCCCTCGAGGTGCGCGCGCGCGCCGCCTCGGGCAATTCGCGCATCCACTCTGGGAAGGAGCTCATTCGGGTCGCGGGCGCCTACGGGCGTGCCGCGGTGGTTCGCGCAGGACGCAGGGTTTGAGCCGCGCGCCTTGTTGAGCCAAGACGACTGCTGACCGCTCCACTTACCGCGCTCTCTGCTAGTCTCGCGCCGGTCGCTCCGCTGGCCAGGATTCTCTCTCGCGCGTTTCAGACATCACCGCAAGTTCCCCAACGGCCCGAGGGCGAGAGAAGGCGAGGGGCCCTGCGGGCCAGGAGCTCTCGATGACGCCGCGGAGAGCACGCGTGAACCCCTGGCGGCGCGCGCCCCCCAGAGCCCCCTGCTGATGGTCTGGGCCGCTGCGTGGCCCAGGCGACAGCGGGCGGTTGCCGAGCGCGCGTGCGCCTGGGGCACGCCTGCAGGCCTGTGCGCCGATTTCCCAATAAGGCTGCCTTGAAACACACCGACCCTGCAGCCGACGGGTCCGTCCAAGCCTTCAACGCCTACTCCGACCCTGGCAACGTGGCTGGGCCCCCCCCCTTGGCGGCTGGTCAGGAGCGCTGTCGGCCCCGTGTTCCGTTCCAGGGGCCGAGAAAAGACCCGCCCTTGACTCGTCCGCTCCTCAAGACGGGAGAGACACCCTAGTGCGCGTTGCCGGGGTCGGCGGACCACCTGCGTCTCGCATTATTCTTCCTTGCTACCAGGAAGCGCTCGGCAAGCGCGGCTGGACCCCTTCGCCGCCGCAGTTGGATTCTACGATATGAATCCCATGGCGTTCTCGGCGTGCCGGAACGCCGTGCGGTGCGCCCATCTCCTCAGCATGACGCCCAAGTGGCCGCCCGTTCCGCCCGCGCGCAGGCGGTCAAGAAAGTGCTGGGCGGGACCACCTACCACCCGCAGTACGGTTGCCCACGCAGACGTTGCTTGTTGTACCCCTACTGTCCGTAGCTCACCATGCCGTGTGCACACCTGCCTCGCCCTCAGCTTGTGGGCCCCGCGCCTGCCGCCCGCCGTTGCAATCCTCGCCCGTGCTACCGCGGGCGCGCTCGCCTGCGCTCGCGCTGGCTCTGCAGGTTCCGCCAGCGCCCTTCGGGGCGTTCGTGAGCGGCTGCGCCTCTCTGCGCGCCGCGCACCCAGTGGCTGCCGGCAAAGCGCCAGCCTCTCGCTTAGAAGTTCTCGGCGCAACGGTGACCGTGGCCCCGCGCGCGCGCGGGGGAACCTGGATGCGCCGCGCCGAGGCAGTGCCTGGCAACGGGACCCCGCGTCCACATCGCGCGGGCCTTGATCCGATATGGCTGCGGTTTTTGGAGCCGGGGCCGCGCTCGTCGCTGTCGGGGACCCCGAACGATCCAGCGCAGGCACACCCATGTCGGGACACCCAAGAAGTATCGGCGTCCAGACATGCGCGGACCCCCAGGACCACCCGCGTGTGCAAGCACTGTTTTGGACACGTCCCTTCTCCCCTCCCCTCCAGCCGTGGGCGGCGGCCGCGTCCTGCGCGTCCTCCGCGCCCATCGCGGCCCGCCGTGCAACGCGAACAAGAATAACCACGCATAAGCGCGCTCCCACATTGGGAGAAACAAACTTTGCGCGCGTGGCGTTGCGCGGATAAGCGGGGGGTAACTTGCGAACGCTCGCGCCTCCGTGCTGCGCAGACGATCGGCGCGAGTCCCCTCTTGGCCCCCCGTCAGTCCTGCGAGCTCAGCCCGACCCTGCCCAAGGCCGGAGCTAGCAAGAAAGTGGCGTTGCGCCCGTGATAAGAGAGGATCGGAGGGGCCGATTATGCCGCCGGTGCGGGGCCCCAGTGCAATGTTCTGCTCAAGAATTGTTTTGCTCAAGTCTCGGGCGGAACCGCTCTTTTGAATTCGAACCCGATGATTTCGAAATCCAGTCGAGATCGTTTGTTGAAGGAAGTGTTGGGCGGGGGCGCCATTTCGGAATCGAACCTGGAAGTTTCGACATCGTTCGGAGCTGTTGCTCTGGGAAGTCTCAAGCGAAAACCGCAGCTTCGAAATCTCAGGAAAGAAACTTAATATTTTAAATGCCAAACGGTGTGGCCGTTTCGAAACGACGGTTTCGTTTGAGGCTTCCTCCAAAAACATGTCCTAACGATTTCGAAACTTTCGGGTTTGACTTCGAAATGGCGCTCCCGTCCAGGACTTCCTCCAAACTAGGATTCTAAACCTTTCTGGTTCGATTTTGAATTGGCGTCCCGCCGAGGACTTCCCCCGCAACGCAATTCGGAGCCTTCTGGGTTCGATTTCGAAGTGGCGCTCCCGCCAAGGACATCCTGAAAACTGGACTTCGACACCCTTTGGCTCGATTTCGGAAAAGCGTCCCCACCCAGGACTTCTTCGAAAGTAGAGGTCGGCACTTCTTCAGCTCGAAATCGCAACGGCGCTCCCGCCTAAAACGCGTCTTGGTGGAAACACGAAGCGGGTCAAAACTTTCCGAGCGCCGATGTACATGCTCCTCCGGCCGCCCTCAGACAGGCCCCAAGCGAGCTGGGAAAAAGGGCGTACATCCCTTGGGACCCCCGCTTGACTGCACCATCCATTCCCGTCCAGCCGATGCCTGTAGTCCTGGAGTTCCATGATGAGCCCCCGGAACTCCGCGGTGTCCACTAGGGGCTGGGTCTTATCCAGCCACTCCCCCATGGCAAGCGCCTGGGGGAGCTTGAACGAGATGATGCCGTAGACCAACAGGAAATAAAGCTTCTCCTGGGGCGACAAGATCTGTGTTGGGCGCCCGAATTATCCGGGGTAACTCGGGTTTGGATTCCCAGAAAAGGAACCCGAGTTATCCCTGACCCGAGTTACCCCTGATGATTCGGGGCTCTGACTGTGCATCTTCACCGCCGCGGGCCAGGCCCATCCTGGGCCCAGGAGCGAGGTATACGCCCCTTGCCATGGCCAGGGAGGCAGACACGCCGCCCTCGGGTCCAAGATTGGCCAGCGGCAGTGGAGGTGTACGGGCGATTCTGGAAATCCTGAACCAAAAACTGTTTTCATCTCTTGAGGCCGGGCCTCATTCTTTACTTCCGCCGCCTTCCGCTGCCCTTCTGCCGGCTTCCGCCGGCGGAGGCGGCCTCGTTTTACCTCCGCCGACCTTCCGCCGCCCTTCCTTCGCCTTCCGCCGCGAAAGAGATGGCAGCTCCTTCTAGCCCCGCAGACAAGGCCCTTTCTGGAACGCCCCATGAATCGATCTCGTCGCCCCATCTCCGGGAGCACATCGCCCATGATGGCGCTCATGTCGTGCGGGACCAGGCCAGCACGGCCGCCCTTGCCGCCCATCTCGTGGCCGCGGCCGTGCCCGTGCCAATGGGTCTCGTCGATGGGGCGCACGTCCGCCTCCCGCATGTGCAGGATGGGCGAGCTGTGCACCAGCAGCTTGCAGATGCAATAGCTGTTCAAGTGGTCGACCCGCATCTCGTCCGACGGGAAGCCCGTCATCCAATTGATGAACGGTGCCTGCCTGATCAGCTGTATGGCCCCCTCCATATTGAAGCGCGAATTGAGCGCCGATTGACCTCCGTGGTCGAGGTACGGGTAGGTGAGGCAGTACTCAGTGCCCGCGAGCATGCAGATGTCGATGAACTGGTCCATCGTCAGCTTCCACTTGAAGAGCACGGCCTCCAGCGACACCCAGTCGAACTTGCACCGAGCCCAGTCCTAGGCAGGAATGGGTGAGTGAGCAGGATGGTATGCGTCTGATGATTAGGGGAGACAAGAGATAAGAGGGAGGGAGAGCAGTTTGTGGAGGAGAGGGAGGACCCGGATGAGTGGGAGGGGGGGGGGAGGGGATGTGGGTGCAGGAGGGTACTGTATGGACATGATGAGGTGGAACATCAGAGGATACGAGGAGGGGGGGAGGGCACGTTATGTGGAGAAGAGGCAGGAGCGGAACCTGTGGGAGGGGGGTATGGATGGGGGAACAGGATGCTATGTTCATGATGATGATAATGATGCTGCTGCTGATGATGATGGTGATGATGATGACGAGGAGGAGGAGGAGGAGGAGGAGGAGGAGGAAGAGCAGAGGGCAAACAGACGGGAGTACAAATTGCGCAGGAGAGCGATGGCTCCAGCTCTCAACCAGCGCGCGTTCGCAGGAGCGCCCCCGCTGCGATCAGGGGGCTGAGGCTTGACGCGAGCTCCCGCTGCAGACATACCACGCAAACTGGACCGTCAAAATCCAGGGCGCGCTCGTTCAAAAACGTCTGCACACCCGAGTTCCCGCTTACTCGAGTCTTTCGCTTCTCCGACACGTATGCCCCCCCGCCGCGGCTGCTGGCAGCAGGAGCCCGGCGCAAGGGGCCGTGCCGCTCCGACCGGGAAATGCTGGCGGCGCTGCAGATACGCTGCGCGGCGCGGGGGTGGCGTGGGCGGTCCTGGGGATGGATCGGGCAGGTGGCAGCGGCGGCAGGATCAGCAAAGACGGCCTTGTCATCGCTCGGACTTCCATTCCACGTGAGTCTTGCGGAGTCGTGCGTGCATTTCCTTTTCCGCAGGATGGCCCAAAATGCTCCTCGATGGTCCATGCCGAAAGAGAACTGCACACGTCCGAGCGATGCCACGTGGCGGAGCCATAGCTCGGGATGGTGGCGCAGCGGAGCGGCTGACCGGCCCCCGGCAGCCCACCCACGAGGGACGGCCGACAGTTGGGCGTGCCGCGCGGCCTACTGGGGCTGCGGGCGCCGTGCCCACCGCGCGGATTCGCCCTCGTTGCGAGTGGCGCAGGTGGGCCGCAGGACCGGGCCCGCCACGAGGGCGCCTTCGGCTCCGCAAGCGGCCGGGCTCCATGGTGGCGCGGCGACTCCTGTGGCCGCTGATACCGCGAATGCGGCGGACGGCGCGACTGCGGCTGCGGAGGCCGCCGACGCCGCAATGGTCGAGCCAGCGATCGCGGAGCGCCTGGCAGCCTAGACCCCCGACGTCGTGATTTTTTCACCGACCCCCAGAGGTCTGGACCCATTCCTTGGGACCGATTTATCATCCTGAATCGTTTTTTGACGGTCCCGAGGCCCGGGAAGAGCCCCCGGAGGCAGAAAATAGAGACAAACCTCCGTTGCGATTTTTTCACAAAGCGAGGAGGTCTGGGAGCAATGCGTGCCCGAATTGCCGCGGCCCGGGCCCTCCGCGAGCTGGACGGGCAGGTGGCGCAGTGGGAGGCGGAGGCGACTGCGCTGGTGGAGGCGGGGCGCGCCGCCCGGCCGCTCGAGCGCAGGCTACGCGAAGCCGCTCCGAGGCGGCCCGCACGTCGAGTAGCCGCCGGTGCTCGAGAGGCGGCCGAGCAGGCGGTGCTGGCCGCGGCTGCCCAGCAGGAGCAGGCCATGCAGGCCGAGGCCGAGGAGGCGGCCGCGCAACGCGCAGCTGGCAGACGTGCAGGCCGAGGTGGCCGCCGGCGGCGCCGCTGGATCCGCGGGCAGCCCTGGTCGCCCGCGGCCGCACTTCCCCCTGCGGGAAGGCTCGAGGCGGCCTTCACTGCGCTGTGGCGGCCGCCGCGGCCCCGCGGCGCCCGCACTGGCGTGGCCGGTCTGCCGGAGCAGGGGCAGCCCCCGGGCTGGGCGCTCCCTCGCCCCCCGCCTGCCTGCCCGCCTGCCTGCCTGCCTGCCTGCCTGCCTGCTGCTGCTGCTGCTGCTGCTGGTGCTGGTGCTGGTGCTGGTGCTGGTGCTGGTGCTGGTGCTGGTGCTGGTGCTGGTGCTGGTGCTGGTGCTGGTGCTGGTGCTGGTGCTCACGCCGCGGAGACCCGGGACGGGCCAAGCGTGAGCTGCGGATGCGTCGCTGGGCTGCTGGCGCTGCATGCTGCGGCCTTCCCTGGGTCGCCGGCTGCTGAGACCCTGGAGGGGTGTCAGGGTAAGCGAGGCGCGGCACCCTGAGCCGCCTCGCACGGTGCGAGTGCTGGTGGCCAACATGACCCGCTGGAGCTCCAGCCGGCGCGGGCCTTGGCGGCAGGCGCCGAGGTTTGGTGCCTGTAGGAAGCCCGCAATCTCGACACGTCAGGGGTCCGCGGCGGTCGCATCAGCGCGTCGGCGTCGGGGGGCCTGCACCTCCTGGCCGCCGCTCATGCGCCCAGTCGGTGTGCCGCACGCGCGGTGCCCGTGGGAGGGCTCTCCCGCCGGCGTCAGGGCCCGCTGCAGCATTTGACCCGCTGCGCCTTGCACTTCCTGAGCTGCCGCGGCTACCCTGGCGGCCGCGGTGACCTCGAGCGCAGCGCCGACCTCGTGCTGGAGGCTCTGGCGTGGCTGCGCGGGCTAGGCGGAGCGCCCGCCCTTCTTATGGAAGATCTGAACTGCCGCCTGGCGGGTTCAGGGCTCGAGGGCTTGCTGGGCATGGCTGGTTGGCGCGACCTGCTCGAGGCAGGTGGCCCCACCTGCGTGCAACACATGGCACGCCGTCCTGCATCGACCACGTGCTCGCGAATCTTCGCGAATTCCGCGGCGCCCGGCCTCGTGCAGCGCGTCTTCCTCCGGTGGGACCTGGGCTTCGCCACGCACGCGACGCCGGCGGTGGAAATCCGCGCAGCCGCGTGCGAGCGCGCGCTCATCCGCCAGCCCGTCCCGCCTCTCTCGGGCGTCGCCGCTGCGGGATGGGGGACAGAGGCAGCCCGTGCCAGCACCGTCGTCGTGCAGGAGGCGCACGGTGAGGTCTTCCAGCGTGCCTTGGCCCAGCACGACGTGGAGGCCGTGCGGCAGGCGCCCATCTCTGGCCAGGCCGCATGCCTCGGCTTTGAGGCAGGCCGAGCGCCCCCCTGCCGTCGGAAGCGGCGGTGAAGCCGCCGACAGGGAGGCCGACGCTGCCCTGCTGCGGCTGCGTCGGCTCCGCGGGCTGCAGCGCGCTCGAGGCCCTCCGCCCAGCAGGTGGCCGAGTTCACCCTCGCAGCCCTTCGTGCTGCCGACGTGGGCTGCGCCGAGTGGTCCGCTGAGCTGGCAACGCTGCGGGCGGATGCTGCGTTGCCCGCGCGCCTCCCGGAGCAGGCGGAGTCGGCGTGGGCAGAAGTGCCCTCGAGATCCCGATGCCGCAGGGTGGCGGCGCGGCTGCGCTGGGTGTACGACTACTCCCAGGGCCGGCTCTACTGTTGCATCCGTGGTGGCGGCAGCCTCGACGCCGACCTCGTGCCCGACCAAGGCCCTAGCGCAGGGGGCGTCCCGCCTCGCCTCGCGCGGGTGTTCCTGGATGCGTGCTCTGCAAGGGGGCCCCGTGGCAGTGGAGGGTGGCAGCGGGATGCAGCGCCCCCACTTGGAGAGGAGTGACTGCAGGCGCTGGACGGCCTCAAGGCCTTCCCAGAGCGGGCCTCCTGCACGGCCGACCTCGTCGGCGAGCTCCTCCAGACGATGGTTGCATGGCGAGCGAGCCGTGGCTCCTCCCAGCCGAGCTCCACGGATGGGTCGCCGCGCTCTTCGAAGGTGGAAGCGCTCGGCGGGTGGCCCCGGGAGTTGGTCGAAGCGGAGGGGCTGCTGCCGCCGAAACCTGGCGGCGAAAGCGGGCCCTTCCGGCGGCCCACTGGGCTGCTGCCGCTCCTGTGCCAGCTCTGGGCTGCGGGCCGTGCCTGGCTTTTCGTGCGATGGCGCCTCAGCTGGGCGGGCGAGGAGGTGCAGCGGCGCGCCGGAGCTGGCCTGGGAGCTTGCCCTGGAGCTGGAGGCCGCCGAGGCTCTTGGCGAGAGCATGGCCGGTGCGGCGCTGGACTGGAGGAAAGCCTACGATCACATCGCCCTGTACTCCTTGCCTAGCATGCTCAAGCGCGCCAGGGGGTGCCGCCGTGGATCACCGGCCCGGCCGCGCACGCTTGCTCCGCTCGCTGGCGGATTCGGGTCGCCAGTGCTCCCAGCATGTTTGGGGCCTCGCTAGCGGCATCCTGCTTGGCTGCGTGCTCGCCGTCTTCATTCTGAGCGTGCTTGCGCCGCCGTGGCGCAAACGGTTGGGAAAGATAGACGTCACCCTACGGCGCCGGACCTACGCGGATGACTTCACACTGTGGGCACGACGCACGGCGCACGACGCCAGCGAGGCTGCAGAGTGCGTCTGTCCAGGAGACGCTGCGCGCGACGGACATTTTCGAGCAGGCAATGGCGGTTCGAGCGGAACAAAAGCAAATAGTTCGCCAACTCGGCCGCGGTGCGGCGCCAGCTGGCCGAGCAGACGCCGTCGGTGGCTGCTGGCACGGGCTTCGGCGTCGCTGCTTGCTCGGCACAGCAGCCGGCGCGGCCGCCGGCATGTACGGGGCGGCCCCCGGCAGCTTGCTGGCCTTCGCGCGGTCTGTCGGGGTGGCTTCCGCGCCTCCGCCGAAATGGTACTCGGCGTGCTCAGTCCCAGCTGGCGCCCCGACCTGGCGGCCGTGGTGGCCATCGCGCCACTGTGGCAGCCGGCGGAGGCGCTGCGGCGCGGGCGTTTCTTTTCCTGGCTCTGGAGAGCCGCTGAGGGCGCCATCGCCGCCGGACACGATCGCGGCCAGGGCCCTCTCGCGGCCGCGGCGCGCAGCATGGCAGAGCTACAGCTCGGGCCCGACGTGGGACTCTGGAGCGGCATGCCATCGGAGACGACAATCTGGAGACCTGCTGACCGCCTGCTGCAGGCAACGCGTGCAGTGCTGCTGGAGGCCTCGGCGCGCAGCGAGGCTTGAACGGTCGCCGCCAGGCGTGCCGACTTCGCGAATGTCCGCGAGGGCATCGACC